GGGGACTCGAGGTTCTGGCACCTTACTTACATGTACCAACAGTTGATTATTTACGTTAACATTAATCATGTCTAGCAATCCATGCGCAGCAAGGTAACCACGCGTCCGTTCAGGGCTTGGAGTTCACGAGCGTTGGGGAGGTGAATGACGTTGGACCACTGCTTCAATTGCGCCTTGGACAGTGTATGCACCTTTTGCAACACGTTCCACTCGACACCTTCCGTGAACGGCTTCGTGGTGAGCGAGCCAGGGTACCGAAAGACGTTGCTTTCGCTCATATAGAGACTCGACGGGTCGAGCGCCGCCAGCGTAAAGTTGTCGCCAGGCTTGGTCAACTGGTCAAACTGGCTGAACACTTGAGTCAAGAACGGGTTGGGCTTGTCTTGGGGGTCCAAGTCAAAGAAGATGCCGACCACGGCCAGGTTCTTGTCCTTGTCAGAGCGTGCACAAAATGCACTTCAAAGGGGTACTGCTTGCCCCCGAGGGTGTGTTCGCTGGGAGCGTGGGGGTGCAGTTGCAGCGACTTGTACACCTTGCCGTTGAGGGTCAAGTGCGAGTCTGGGCCCCCCGACCACGTGGCCTTGACGATGTAGCCCTCATGTGACATCACAGCCGAAGCCGTGTGGAGCACGACGGAGAAGTTGCCGGTGTTGGCCACGGGCTTGGCGGAGGCGGGCAAGTCGATGGGGGACTGACCCTTGAGGGTTTGGCTAGACACGATGGCGACAACAGCAGCGATGACGTACACGAAGAACTTCATGAGGGCAGTTGGGGGGGAAATGAAATGTGGAGCGGGTTGGGTTGAAGACCGAGGGGTTGTGTCATGTGAGACATTTCGTGGAATGTGGACTGTTGCATGATGTACTGTACTGTACCTTGGTCGTTTGGTCATATTGAGGAGATGGAATGACAATTTCGTCTTGGAGAGATAACTAATTAAACACGTGGACAGCAATGCGGTACGAGTTCGTTCAGGATGGGCAATGGCCCTGTTATGATGTTCGGTCGACAATATGGGTTAGTACATACTACGTAGTAGTATTATTGAGCTGAAGAACTGTCGACCAAGGTGAACATCACCTCCAAAATGGCTGATATTGAACTTCAACACAGTGGACCTCGGTGTTTAAATGTAGGTACTGTAGGGTATCGTGTTCGCCGCCGTGGTCAGACACACCAGTACCGTATTTTTGAGAAATGCCAGGGTGTCAGGGTCCGAGTATTTTTGAGAAATTCGTCAATTTTATTGGAGGAAAAGCCTGATAATATTATGAATAATCTACTGTGATTGGTCGTTATCTTGACCAAAGTCGTGTTAACAGGACTATTATAATACTAGTACTGCTATTAATACTACGTAGTGCTTACAGGTGTCACAGTTCCGGATACACGATCCGGATACACGTGGCTGTACCACGCCATGAGGACAAAGTCAGACCCGAACCCACGAGCGGCCTAGGACGCCGCTATGCGTCAAGGAAACAGCAAAGGCCCGCCGCGCCTTAGCTTTGAACCACCCCCGGTCCTTTGTGTTCACCAGCTCAAGATGGCTGATCCTGCTTAGATTAGCTATAGCGCTAGATTGTCATAACGCTACCAATTCACTTTTCAATTTGCCAACTACAGTACTGCGACTTCCTCTGCTGCACAGTAGTGTGGTCGAAGGCATCAAGGGGGTCAGGATTAGGGTTATTTTGAGATACTACGTAGTACCCAATTCACTGTCAGGAGTACTGACAGTGAATTTACTGTTAAGAGGTGTTGTACTAGTACTGGTTAAATAGAAACCTTTTGGAAATCACTGTTAACATCATTAATAGAGGTTACGTACTTTCTCTTTGATATTTGGCATTGTAATCGCTTTTATTATAGCATATCTCGCAGGATTTAATTTTCTAAGGCTTGCACCTAATGAATGTTTTGTTGCTCCAATCAAGTGCCACACATATTCAAAATCTCGCAGAAAAACGTTGTCTCGAACTTGAGATATGTATATTTGTCCCCTCGACGCCATCGACCACTGTTACAGTAGTAGTCGACAGCGCTTACTGGTATGAGAGAATTGTTCTCAGATCTTCACCTATTTTTATTCATTTAAAGAAAAATGCGTTTATTAGATGTGGAACTATATAATGTAATACGGTGACAAATGCATCATGGTGACACTTTGCAGCATCGCTTTACAGTGTTAGCGAGAATATCAATATTGACGATATATTGAACTGCTCACATTGTAGCTAGGCCTGTGAGCTACAATGTTCATATTAACTGTTTGTTGCTAAGCTTACAGTTAGTCAGAAAAAAATATTTCCAAAGACCCCGTCACAGCACGACTGGTATCTTGACCAAACAACGTCGTGTTGACAGTACTACTGTATTAATAGTGTGATTTGCAAAATGGCTTTCTACGTGATTTTCAACTCGCAGTGTGGTGGGCAATCAAGGAGCGATCATTTGAGCAGCATAGAAGCAGCCAC